ATTGTCAGCCTATAATTTTTGTTTGGGTTTCTGGAGTGGGATTTAAATCAACGACCTTCTGAATCAAATGTGGGCTAACATGTAATTAGAGGTCCGAGGAAGGGTCACCGAACCCGAAACATTAACACTGTTTTTTCCTTCACAAATGCTGCCAGACCAGCTGAGCTTTTCCAGCAACTTCTGTTTTTGTTCCATTTTTCCATCCGTATTTTGCGTATACAAAACACAATGGAAAGTTCCCTTGTATGGCCCAGTTTTAGAGTATACCAAGTCAAAAACTGAAACTTAGTACAATTGACTTACCTTACTCCTGAATGTTTTAATCCTAACCAGCCAAAATATTTCAGAGGCCTCGTTACTCTTTCAGCTGTTGTCACTGGGGTGTTGAAGAGCCGTGTCAGTTCAGATTGGCTTGTAATATCATGAGGAAAACTATGATCTCCACCCGAACTAAAACCTAAACAATAAAAATCGGAATTATTAATTAACACAAACCATTATTGCTCACATCAAATTATAAACCATGCAAATGACATCACAATTAATGTGTTAATAGTCATTTGGTGTAAGAGAATTTGAATATCTCTGAGAAAAATCTTTTGTTTTTGACACACTGCAAGTTCATTTATTAGGAGAATTTTCAAGAACACTTTCTTGTGAAAAAGCCATTCACAGGATGTGGGAGTAGCTGGTTGGGCCAAGGTTAATTGCCCATCCGTAGGTGCCCTTGAGAAGGTGATGGTGAGCTACCCTCTCGAACCATTGCTGTGCTTTTGTGTCGCCACATCTATAAGGATGTTAGGGAAGGCGTTCCAGGATTTTGACCCAATGATGCGGAAGCAACAGCAATATATTTCCAGTCAGAACGGTGAATGATAGAACTTGCAGGTGATGGTGTTCCCCGATATCTATTGCCTTTGTCCGTTTAGCTAGAAATAGTTGTGAGTTTGGAAGGGGCTGTCGAAGGAGCCTCGGTGAATTTCTGCAGTGCATCTACAAGATGACACACACTACTGCTCCTGAACATTGGTGATGGTGGAGGGAGTGAACGTTTGTGGATTTTGAACCATATAAATGGTTTCTTTGCCTTGGAAGTGTCAAGCGACTTGTGTGTTGTTGGAGCAGTGCTCATCCAGACAAGTGGGGAGTTTTCCATCACATTTCTGATTTAAACCTTGTAGAAAGTGGCCAGGCATTTGGCAGTGGATATTCATTGCAGACTTCTTAGCTTCTGATCTGCTCTTGCAGCCTTAGTATTTATATGGCAAATGCTTCATTGCTCACAATGTGGTCTCCTCTACATTGGGGAAATGAAGCACAAACTGGGTGACTGCTTCATGAACATTTATGTTCTGCTCTCAAAAAAGACCCTGAGCTACCTGTTGCCTGCCACTTTAACACACCACCCTGTTCCCTGGCCAATATCTCTGTCTCTGGCTTGCTACAGTGTTCCAGCGAAGCTCAACGCAAGCTGGAAGAACAACACCTCATTTTCCACTTGGGGACCCCGCAGCCCTCCGGACTCAATATCGAGTTGAATAATTTGAGGGCCTAAACTCTCCCATGTCCCAGCCACCTGTCTGATACACTTGGCCTCGTTATCACATAGCCTGCTATTACACACCACCTCTTGTTAGTCACCAACAGTCCAATTAACAGCTATTCACTCGCCTAGCCAGGTCATTATCAACTCCTTTGTCTATCTAACTACTCTTCTCTTTCTTCAGGCTGTATCCTATTGTTAAATCCCTACCCCACCCCCTCCCTATTTTCTGCATAAAAACTGACATTTTCCCAGTTGCCATCAGGTCCGAGGAAGGGTCACCAGACCCAAAATTTAAGTCAGGTTTTTTCTTCACAGATGCTGCCAGACCTGCTGAGCTTTTCCAGCAACTTCTGTTTCTGTTCCTGTTCCTGATTTGCAGCATCCACAGTTGTTTTGGTTTTCAAAGGAATGTGTTATTTGGTATGTTCTGCCAGCCTTTGGGATATACAGCCTACATACTTAGCATCACATCAGCATTGAAATTCATATACCACATCACACATTTGTACGATAGACTGAAAGCATCTCAGGCTTATCAGCAGCATCCTGTTGGTTACAAACTGATGAATTCCTCACGGTACCATTGCTACTAACCGGGGCCCACCTGACAACCAATCAGTACTCTCCTCTCATACAGTATAAATGTTGAATTGCTGTTTTCCCTTTACCTCAGTAATTTGTACAAATTGTCCTGATCAGTACAAGCGGAAAAGCTTTCACTTTTTATCTCTTTTCATTCATACTCAATCGATATGGTTTTTACTTTAGTAATAAAAATAATTATTTAACCCTTTCAGCTATCATTAAAGAGTCCATCTAACACTGTGAGAAGTGTTCAATAATACACACAATAATTTCTCACCCCACAAAAGTGAGCAGTGTACCCTGACAGGGTCGAAAGCCTGCGAGGCAAAGATGTCGAGCAGAGCTACTGGTACCCTCTTGGCTGAATCTATCAAGAAAGATCTAACCATCTTCCATGTGTGAGACCTCTACCACAAAGGAGGAGCAGGCTGGTAAGTACATGGGAGCAGCATCAGCATCACATTCCCACAAAACAACCTGACTCAACACTTTATCGCTATTCCTTCATTGTCACTGGGTCAAAATCCTGAAGTTCTCTTCCCGACAACCTTGTGGGTGGACCCCACCCAGGATGGTGGCAGTTCTGGAAAGTGGCTCATGATCACTTTCTGCAGGGCAATTCAGGAGGGATAATAAATGCTGGACCAGCCAGTGATGCCCATATCCCATGGAGAAATAAAATAAAAGCTGGACATGACGGACGCTCAGTGCAGATGAAGGTTCTGCCATTCAAGTCAGGCAGTCAGTTCTATCCATGGAGTGATAGGTGCTGAGATGGCATCCAATCTCTGGTTGGGGGCATGCACCCGTACCTATTGAAAATAACTGTTATCATTAACCTACACCCCTCAGGATAATATCAGGGTCCTGTATAGGATCTTTGCATTGTGTTGCAGCCAGCTGCACGCCACTGTATGTAGTTATATGGGACATACTGTTCAGGAGGGGAAACACTATTATGGAGCTCAGAACAGACCAGGAGAACCTGCAGACAGAATGTGTGAGAGGATTTGGGACGGTCTCTAGTTTCCGGAAAATTCAGAGCACCGTTGGATTGTAAGCCATGTGGTGGTCAGAACACCCATGGGACATGCTGGGATTTCACACGCTCACAGCCCTATGGGACTTCTGATCTCCACATCTTATCTAAGTCCCACTTCACAGTAGGGAAAGAGACAAGTACCCATTTTTAGGTAAAATTAACATTCTCGGGCTCATTGCTCAAACAACAGAGAAAATGTGTTAAGTTTGACCCAGTTGTTTGCAAGTGCTATACCTACTGTACTAATCAGGTAAATAGACACCGAGAACTGCAGATGATGGCAATCTGAAACCAAAACAGACAGAAAGGTTCTGACGAAGTGTCAGTGGACTTGAAACATGAAAGTTTTCTCTTTACAGATGCTGTTTTCTCTTTGCAGATGCTGCCAGATCTGCTGAGTTTCTTCAGCATTCTGTTTTTGTCTTAATCAATAGTTTTAAGGCAGCAGTTGTAATTTACGGTCACTCAAGATCATGGATCAACCTAGCACAATGTTTACGTAAAAGTTTCCATCATGTTACAGACTGGCCAGTCATGTTTTAATATAAGAGGAACATCAGACTGGGAATACGCCTCTGCATTATAATGTGACCACAGGGCACTTTATTTTATGATCTGCAGAACTTGCGTCTAAAATGCCTCAATATGGTCTTCATTTTTGTCAGTCGTATTGGGGGTTGAAAGGTGTACACTTATTCAATTAATTAGCAGAGCTAGAGTTCTGATAAATATGTAAATGCTTAAATACTCACTTGGAGCTGCAGTAACAGCACAGGAACAAATTGCAAGAATCACCAGGAACATGGTCCTCACAGTGTAAGTGCCTACAGAGTAGAAAATTAAAAAATAGATTTGACATGCAGTAGAAGTTAAAAATTAAACAAAACAAATTCTTTGCATTTTTGTCCAGAGTTATCACTTTGATTTGTTTCTAGCAGAAAAAACCTTGCACCTAAATAAAGATTTGTAACAGTAAAATACTAACATTATCCCCCCATTTCTATTTGTAAAATAAAACAACAGTCACACAGCATGTGATTTAGTTCTCAAGTTACACAAAAATTCATAATTGTTGTTCTTTTATTTCTATATTCCTTTAAACGCTCAACTTACCTGAGGCTTAGAAGAGCAAAAGTCGTGTTTCTGTGGATATTCTATGATCTTGTTTCTGATCCCTGTCTGTGTTAGGACACCCTGCGACCCTGAATTTAAAGAACTCATTTACTGACGTCACATATTGTGGGAGTGACCATTTCAACCTGTGTAAACAATACAAATGCTTGGGACATATCGATAAGTACATCTGTCATAATAAATGGAAAAGATTAATGAAACCTTAGAAAATGAATTTGTTGCACAGATTCTGCTAATGCATGAAAATACATATACTTTCCATTTTGACATGACTAGTGTGTTTGCTTTATTTATCTAGATAGATGTTTGGGGGAGATGCATTTGTGAGTGACGTGATGATCTGAGAGTTTGAAATTGTATAAACATTGTAAAAGAGGGAATACTTTTCCTGTGTTTTAATTCAAATTCTGCTTTAATCAGACAAATACAATCTAAATTGGGCCAAATCAGGTTGAATCTATAAAGCCCACTCAACTATTTTGTCTGAAGCTAAGATGAACTAACACCTCGTTGAAACATAGAATGTGCTGTGACAGGTTAATCATGGCTCATATCAATTCCAGCCTCCCAGCCTTCCTTGACTCTTTGCAAATTGCCGACCAGCGGAATAGGTCCATGGCTGATGCTATCTCCCGAAGCCTAGACTTGTCCCTGGAACATGGGGATAATAAGGATACCTATGTCAAGCTTCTACTTATTGACTACATCTGCACCTTCAACCAAAGTAATCTTAAAACTCCGGCAGCTAGATCTCTGCTCCACCCTCTGCAACTGGATCCTTGACTTGCTGACCCACAGATGGCAATCAGTGAGGATGGGCAACAGCACTTCGTTCACAGCAATCCTCAACACCAGCGCCCTGTAACGATGGGTACTGAGCCCCTTACTATGCTCCCTGTACACTCTTGTCTGTCTGGTCAAATTTCATCTGAACTCCACCTACAACTTGACTAACGACACTACTGTTGTAGGCCAGACATCAAACAATGACGAGACAGAATACTGGAAAGAGATTGAGTGCTTGGTGTCATGGTGCAAAGATAACAATCTCTCCCTCAACATGAGTGAAACTAAAGAGCTGATCATTCGCTTCAGGAAGCAAAGAGGGTGACAGGCCCCAATCTACGTCGACAGAGCTGAGGTGGAGATGATCGAGAGCGACAAGTTCCTTGGAGTGACGATCAGCAACAATCTGTCCTGGACCACCCACACTGATACGACAGTCAAGAAGGCACAACAACACCTCTTCTTCCTCAGGAGGCTAAGGAAATTCGCATGTCCATAAGGACTCTCGCCAACTTTTATTGATGTACCATAGAAGACATTCGATCTGGATGCATCACAGCTTGGTACGACAACGGCTCTGCCCAGGACCGTAAGATACTACGCAGAGTTGTAAAAACAGCCCGGTCCATCACCAAAATCAAACTTCCATCCATTGACTCCATCGTTAACTCCATTGACATCTCGCTACCTCAGAAATGCAGTCGACATTATCGAAGACCACTCCCACCCAACCTCTTCTGCCAGACAGAAGATAAAATAGCTTAAACACATGTACCATCAGGTTCAAGAACAGCTTCTTCCCTCTTTTTATTAGACTTCTGAATGGACCTGTCAAATGTCAAATCTGATGTTTTTGTTTTGCTTTTTG